AGCGTCAATGTCAGATTTAACTGATGTGTGCAAAATATTATCGACTGTCGTTGGGTTTATTTGTTTATTTTTCAGTTGATGTTTTGCTTCGTACCAGAGTGAGTGAGTGAATGAGTGAGAGATTGACCCAATTTTTTGTCAACCCAACAAAACCATACATATATTGAAAGATTTTGCGCACATTTCTGCGCGCAAATGAATTCGCTCCCGTTTTGTGTGGCTCTTTCATCGGTTCAATTTACAGCCAAAAAAAACGTCTTTCACAAACACATGGTGTGGCTCGATTCAAGTTTCAGGGTTTTTGATAAAAATGAAGACCAAATTCAATGTCAAAAACTTTGTATACACACAATTTATTATAATGCTCTCCGAACTGAAATGAAAAACGGAAATAAATTTTGGCACACCATTCTCTTCGTATTCTACATATTTATGAATTTTATGGATTAAACTCCAGAATATTCAAGGCATTTTTGGATTCTTAACTCTCAATTGGTGAACAGAATGAAAAGCACAAAGAACAAAAAATGTATACCGCAGTCAGGTTGATGCATTATAAATTTAAGCACTTTGTTTTTCAGCGAAAAATGATTTATTACACGTTTACGATGTGACGCTTTGTTGACTTTGTATTGTTTTTGTTTTGGCTATCCAGCAAAAAACAGTAACAACGATCGCATCCAAACGGATGAAAGTGAACCAATTTTTTTCGCCTAATATAAAATGCATGCTATGTAATATATCACACTGTTTTGGGAATGAGAAAGAGATTTTTACACCAAACATTTAAAATATAGTAAATATTTTTTGTTATTAATTTTTTTCTCGTTCGAATTTGATATGTTTTACGCCATGCACTTTCGCTACACGTGCCATATGTTCATGCCAAACTGAAGGCTACCAATTGGGAATGTGTTGGAATATATCCAAAACCGAACTATTTCAACCATTTTATTCTTTACAATTGTTTCGTTTTCATAGCTGTGATTACAGTTAATGCTATACATTTATGTCAGTCACACCCTTCGATTTTCGGGTTTAATTACATAAAATAGACCGTGTAATTTTCATCAAATTGTTACTTGCATAGAAATTTAGTTGGTGATCACAACATTTTACACTGATCAGGTAAATAATCGAACCGTGAAAATCGGTCAAACGTCGGGCTTCATTTTAAGTATGAGAAGAAATTAGATTTTTTGGGAAACATGATATGAACTACATGAAAGCAATTTGAATGTGATGATGACAGAGGTCGATGTGTTTATGTAAAAACAAAATTAAATTCAGACTTTGATTGACGAATCATTCACAGATGAGAGAGAGAGAGAGAGAGAGAGAGAGAGACTGAACCCACATGGAAGACTATAAATGAATCTCAATTAAATTGGAAACGGTTCCCGGTGAAAAGGTCGATGGAGAAAAAAGAAAGTTTAAAGACTAAACGTGACTTAATTTTAATTCGCTGAATTAGCCGGTAAACTCTTGGTTTTTACAGATAAACACAAGAGGATTCAAAATAAAAACTACCATTCTTGATTGCGTTCTCTCAATCGAACAATAAACATTTTTACTGCAGTGAATAGGATCTTTTTTTAATTTGTTTTGTTACCGGCGTATACTGATAAAACATTCAATTTCCATGTTTTTCTGTTTAAAATTACATTCAATTGATTTCTGGCAATGATATTCCGATTTTTTTTTTCGTTCTAATCTCACAAACAAAAAACCAGTCCGTGTGAGTCAAAATGCTAAACAAAGGTACAAAAAATGTGTGTAAGCTAGAGACATTGAAGCACATTTACTGTGCACATCACCTATAAAACAACTAATGCGCACATTCAACGCGCTAATTCATTGGAGCGGTGAATGTATGCGAGAGATAAAAAATCGATGTTGCCATAAACTTAATTCGATGATATTGATATGTAACCTAAATCTTGTCCAAGTAGCGGAAAATGTGATTTTTTTTATTCATCCAATTTTTATCTTCATTGTATTGCATAAAATGTAGATACGGAAATGACTGCGTCACCTGCCACAAATTATATTCATAAATTTATATGCTATTTGAATAAAAAAAAACCAACAACACCCATGTACTTTTGTGCGCTTTTGTTGTTTCAATAATACAGCCGGAAAGAGAGCATCTGTGAATGCGATGCGATATTTATTTTAACGCATAATATCGACATAACACGGGAAGTTTGTCGATTCAAATCAATTGATTTCCCTTTTTGCTCCCCATAATTTGAATTTCGATACCATACCATTTTAATGGGGTCAATTTTGTATTCATATTATATTTCAAATTCAAAAAATTATTAAATTATTATGCAATAGAAAAATTGAATCAGATCTTGTTTATTTTGAGCATCTTGTCTTCAGTTTATTTATAAAAGTGTCGTTCAAAACCCCTATTCAAAATTTATATTTAAAAGGAGCAACTAATCAAATTTAATTAGATATTATATACATCAACGAGAGAAATGCATATTAGAATTTAAGATATCTTTCGACGAATCAGCGGTCTAAATCTACAATCAAAAGAAGATCTTTTGAATTTAATTTAAAATATATGTTATTACAACGCCAGCACATTCATATCCGTTACATCATTTATTTTCTCTCTGTTTATTTCTTAATATTTCATTGCATTTTTCTCAATCTTTGTAGATCAATGAGAGTACCAATTAGTTAAAATTGCTCTAATGATCGTATGTCAACGAGCGGTTTCTTTTTATTTCATTAAAATGTGAAAAATATGTTAGAACTCTATTGAAATATCGTTGAAAAGATTTACGAGTTGGATCAAATGTTAAAGGAGATTGAGAGAGAAGAGACATTGAACGGTGACATATTGTTTTCATATGAGTTGCATTTTAAAAATAACACACAATAAACAAATGAATTGTTTGGTATCGAATGAAACTGGCCCATTTTATGTGTCTATATTTGTGTTGCATTGTTTGGTATCCGCAAATGACTATAAATAAAAAGTCGTAAATAAATACGTATTTTTACGCATATTGTTTGTGTGTTTTTCTCTCTCTTTTTCGCTTGCTGTGTCGTGACTGCGCCAATTCGCGGTGAAATAAATATAAATGTGTGATTGCGAGAAAAACTCGTAAACACAACATAAGTCACAGTCGTTGTTTCAGTCTGTGGTAAAACTCAATGAATCGAAATGTGTATTTATTATTATGCTCTCGAAATACTTTGTATGGTTCACGAGCAACAGTGATGCAAATGAAAAAAAGAGATGCAGAGAAACATCTCGGAAATATTTATAACAAGAATAAACAAGAATGAATTGGATTTTTCTCTCTTTTGGAGAGAGGAAGAGAGAAAGGTCGAGTGAAGAATAAAGCAATTAAATGTGATTCAATTTTACATCAAATTGATGTTCTGATGGCCAACAATGAAGATGCACAAGAAAGGTATAGTCTTCACCTGTCAAAAAGACATAAAACTGCTATGCTATGAGAAAAATAGTAGCAGATATTATGCAATTCACCATTTATGGCATTCCATCAGTATGGCAAACATCTGAACGGTGCATTACTAACGTGCCTATCGCCGGACAATACAAACACACACAAAAATTCCATGCAATTTTCACTCGAATGAAGAATGCAGCACCAATTCCATTGGCATGCTAAAATCAATACACATTTTTTTCACTCTTTGTCTCTCGCTCTCTATCTATCTCATTCTCTCTGTTTGTCTATTAATTGAAAAAATATTAATTCTACGGTATGTGTGTATGTGCATGGGTTGCAATGTAAACAGTGTTCACAATGAAATGCGATTTTCTGGTTTTTCAGTACCATTTCATTGTGCCCGAGAATGGAATTGAGTCGCAGTGGCAATGTAGTGTGCCTGAGTGATAGATGCGTATCGGTACACAAATATTTATTGGACTTTGCAATGCAAACAGGCAATCGTTCGTTTTTATTTTTTTTCCTTTTTTCAATGTATCTCTCTATGTTATTTGAATTCGAGCTTATCGGTTTCGAACAACGCAGAACCAGAACATTAAGATTGGCAACATGAACACAGATAAATTTGTTAGAATCGAATAGAATTGCAATAAATCTGCATGAAAATCCACACGAGTTTTTGTAATAAAATTTAAAGATTAAAGAGAATGAATGTGAAAACAATGGGCGAATCGCAAACTAAGCACTTTAACTAATTCAATTTCAATTTATTCGATTTGCTTGGCAAATTTTATTTAGTTGCCTTCAAAAGTGATGGTATCACAGGCTGCATCACTTCGTCAAAATTGTTCAATTTAACAAACAAACATGCGAACTCAAATCAATTGAAAAAGATGAACAAAAACACTGTCCACTCTTGCTTCACTCTCTTTTTCTCTCAATTTTCGATGAGAAGAAGGAAACATCATCATAAGCAAATGGTGTTTACCATTTGCTGATGCTCTAAAACATGAACAATGTGATTGAAGACTTGAAACATTTTAAGTGTAGAACATTATAGTCATAATGCATAAGATGATTGCTGGCGCGCGATGTTGTTCGTGGTTGTCATTTTTTTTCTCTTTTCAAAATGCAATTGCAAACATGCTGATATCACTTGCGATGTTAAACATGCTGACGCATTTAATGACCATCGCGAGTGTAGTAAGAGACTTCAGTAATCTTTGTAATCATTTATTACACGAAGTTGCCAGTGTGTGCAGATTTCTGTTAAGAATATTACGTTGGGCATGCTTAAAATGTAAATTTGGTCATTATGGTTGATGCGAAGGATGAAATCATCATTAAATATGACATTTTTTTCGCAAAAATATGAACAACAGATTTGTGGTTTTTTTGTGTGAACCTAATAAAACCATGTTGTTTATTTCTATTCATGAAATTTAAGATACTTGACACAGAAAATTAGACTCTCGAGATCTTTTCGCACTTATTTTATTAAGATATTTAAATAACGATTAAAAAATTGTTTTCTAAATGTGTTTTCTCTCATTTCAGACGGCTCAATCGAATTTCCATCATCAAAAATTATTCGAAGATACATCGTCTTCATCATTGCTTCGATCATCGTACAATCAACGCCAAGAACAACGATATTTATTGCAGTCACAACTTGAACAAGAGTTACTGCAAAATCAAATCCATCAACGTTACTTGGAACATCGATATTCGGTGCCGCAAACACAACATCGAAACGAACACGATAAATTGCCACCGAACACAACACTGCTGGCAAAATCACAGCAAAAATACTCACAATACAATCCATACTATCACACATTGGACAATAGAGTGTTGCCCGCTCAACAGCAATCATCGTCGGCAACAACGGTTCACACCGATCTGAATAACACTAGCGATAGATTTACAAAGCAAATTAATTTTAATTTGAATAACGTCAATCACTATTACAACAGTACAAAACATTGTACCGAGACTGATAGAGACGGTGTAGCCGTTGCCGCTGCCGCTGCTGCAACAAACGTGCACTTGTCATCGAAATCAATCGGTTACAATACATGCAACAATAGTACCATTGCAAGGACAAAGCCTTATCAAAACAATATTTGTAGCGGTAAGAAATACGACATAAATAATCGCAATAATAATCACGACACATACATCGAGTATCTACAAAAGCCAATTAAAATGCAAAGCGCGGAAATTGTCATCGAACACACTCAATTAGTATTGAATGTTAATTCAAACGGCAATGACAATACGAATCCAACAAATCCAACGCATCGACCCAATCACTATACGCAGGTAAATGTTTAAACTCTTCTATTTTGATTCTCTTATGATTGAGATGAAACGTGATATAACATTCTCATTTATATAGAAAAGATAACACTATATCTCGAGACTCATTAGTTGTAGTATTTCACTTTGCATTTCACAAAGCAAACTTGTATCCATCGATTTGCGAAACGCACCGTAATCCACCGCTCAAGTTCATAAGTAGAAGTAACTCGAAGGATTTAACTTTCGATACAAATTGCATTTTCATATTATCCATTTTAAGCCAATGACAAACTCATGTAATTCTATCCAATTAAAGCACTTCTCTTCATCTCGTCCCAACTATCTATCCATTATCACATAAAGCGTACTTTCATAATACAGCACTACGAAATGTTTTAATTCAGGTAGAATGTACGGGGTGTACATTTTTTCAAATTAAGTTTTTTTGTCAACGACAGCAATGCAAAACCGGATCCGGAACATTGGAATCAAGACAACGTATAACAGGATGCGTTCTGTTTAATTTTGTAAAATAAATGTTTCTCTTTTTAATTGATACGATTACACAAATGAATAGTCTTCAGTATCGGAATTTGGATTGAAAGTTAGTGCTATGTTTGGAAATTCAGATAAAATGCCATTTACTTTTGCACACGATGAATGTCAACTTGTTCATAAAATTTGATTCGAAAGAAAATATATGAAAAACCAATGAAGTGTGATAATGAAGCCTTGTAATATAAAGAGATCCAAGCAAAGACAAGTCAAAGGTAATAATTGGCAATCTGTTCGTGGTTTCGCTGAATCGGAAAATGAGTTTATGGAGGGAAAAAAATGAACAAAAACAAATAAGAATTGTATTGGTTGAACGGTTGAAATCACAAGTCCAAAGTGCCTTTGTTTGTGTCGGCCAATGCTTATCTATTACTTGACGAAGGCAAAAAAAAGTAGTAGCAACAGTCCAAAGAAATCCTCTTGTTTACGTAAAAATTATGTTTACTTCAAGCACACGAGCTGCCACACGATTGAATGGAGCAAAATTTGTGAAAATATTTTCGCTTGATTTCCGCCAATGTGATTGCAATTTTGAGATTACACTCTTTGGTCTTGTCTGCTTTTATTATTTCCTTTCATTTGATCGCAAACCTTTTTCCTCCTTTTATTTGTATTACAACTTTCTTTTCACTCTCTCAAAAAGTGAGATAAAATATAACACGGATAGCAATCACAAGAAAAGAAAAAAAAACGAAGAAAAAAATACCCATAATTTTGCCTTTGTCCTCGTTTGCTTGATTTTGATCCTGAATGGCAAAAAGAAAAAGAATGAATAAAAAAACACACGAGCCACATCAATGGAAAGTCCCTGTTTCAATATAATTTTCTTTACGGCGCACTTTGCTTCACTCATTCACGTTACAATCATCGTAAAAGCAACAATATACAAACTTACGGTGAGCAAAAAAAAGAACCTCAATATCATGATAAAATACATGTGTATGTTTAGTACACATATCCTGTGAATTGCCAACATAAGTTCGAAGGTAAAATGGAACGCTGTTTGGTAAATCGGATGAAAATCAAATTAGACAATATATGTATGCTTGGCAAAGTAGTTTAAAATATATGTATATATGTGTGTGGCATGTTGCTTCTTCGACATTAGCTAGAAAGTAATACAAAAAATCCACATTTTCTCTGTTTGATATTTTCGTTTTTTTTTTTTGCTTCATTTAATAAACGGCTGCTTTTTCTTCCAATAAAGTAACGTTGTTTGCATTGGAACAAACATTTCCATGTGGTGATTGGCATTGTGCAGTATCTTTGTCTGCGTCGCAGATAACGATGGGCTTTGATTTGATGGAAATGAATTTGTATTGCAAATGTATGTTTATTCGAGTCGAAAATCGAACTAATGGCAAGATAATGCAAACACCATTGTTTAAAAGTGTAGAAAAGGCTTGGCTTGATGGAAAATTATGCACGAACAACGAACACACGTCAAAATTCAACGTGCTTATGGATATAATGGGAATAAATTTACATGAATAACAGATATGAAATGATGTGCTGCAATATGCTTTCACAACCGTGGCATTGCGAAATCTGTCAAAAAAATATCACGAAGATTACATTTTTTTCCATACTTTTTCTTTGAATAAAAAAAGCAATTCGAACAACCGTAAACCACTGAAAAGCCATTAAGTTTGTGCAAGCACATGCTTTATGGTGTTTTGCTTGTTATTAATTTTTTTTGGAGGAAATGACAAAATGTCGATTTTAAGAACATTTTTATTAGTTTCAATCTTGTAAAAAAATCCATTGAATAAACAACACATCGGCATTGATTGGTTAAGAGCTCGCCCAAAATCGATCACATTGAAACAGAGATTGTTTACACAATTTATTCTGCTGGCATATTATGAGCAATGTTACACACATAATGAGATAACGGTGGATATTTTAATTTAATTAAAAAAAAAACCTCTGACGACGCGAACAGAATAGAGTCAATTGCACAGACATTTGAACATACAAAGCAGAACAATTTCAATGAGTATTATGTGACAGGATTTTGTGGCCGATGATAAGTTGATAGCATTTATGATGCGTTCACACAATGTGATAGACAAACAATAAACATCGAATATGCCACACAAAACCGATGGATTACTACAATACATTTTTTATCAGTGTCATATTATAGATGTTTTGATTCGGTCAAACTCAAGTAATCAAATAATAACGGATCTTTTGTCAATTGATGCGGATATGCGCTTTGTTGTTACAATAAACATCAAGCAACTTCCAGTTAATATCCAAAGTCAATATCAAATATATGCTTTGCACTTGTATAATTTCAAATTTCATATGTTTTTGTTAGGATTTTTGTTGAAATGATTGGCATGTTATGCACGTTGAATAAAATACTTGAGAAATGCTTTCAATCTTTGAAAAATGTAACTTTATGCCAAACTCAAGAGAAATAAATTGAAATTCATTCGTTTTTTCACAGATATTAGCTGCGTTAGCCGTTTCACTTGGACCATTAGCGGCTGGACTGGGGAAGGGGTATTCAAGTCCTGCCATTGCCAGCCTCCAAGAACTACAAATTCGAACTCGGGGAAATTACACATCATTCACCATCACAGATCAAGAAGCCAGTTGGGTAGCTAGTTTGTCACTTTTAGGTAAGTTTCATTTGTTTTCTTCTTCGATGTTCTTTTTGAACATTGACATTTTTAGTTTCAAACTGAAATAGCTCTTTAACGCCAGAAAAACGATAATTGTCACAATTTCGGATACATAAAGCATAAGAAGCGGAAGAAAATCGATTATTTAGTTAAATAATCAGTATAATATCACTATGGCTTTGTGGAAAGTCTGACAATTTGAAGTCTTCCAATTTTGTTTCTCCTATTTTCCCTTTTCAAATTTCTAATGGGTCGCTTTCATTACATCTTCTTTTTTATTGCAATCGTATTTTCCTCGTTTATATACATTGTGTGGTGCCGATGCTGTTTCACAATCACTTTGGCTTTGTGTCAGACGTGAAAAAGGCAGTTTCTTTGACTGATTTCTCTCTCTTCCTCTCTCACGGTTGCTAGTTTAGTTGATTCTATCCGAATGCAAAAAAGCTTATTACTGCCAAATGGACCATTTTTGCCATTGCTTGAGCTGGGTCTGGCCATTTTAAATCTTTATTACTTTTTTCGGAACGGCACATGCAGAGGACAACATCAAAAAGTTCAAATCCTTTTTCTGTGTAAAAGCAAGTTTTCGGCGTTACTTTATGTGAATGTCTCGTTATGACTACCGTTGAAATTGTAATTTTATTACAACAATTTAAGCAAATTGAAGGAGAAAAAAATGGGAACTTTCATTTCTATAATCCGATTGAATTTATGCTGTTGTGCATTTAATGATATTACCACTGACGAAAAAAGAAATTACGGTCGAGAGATTTCTCCACGTCTCTTTGACTTCCTTCCTACAATTTTGGCATTTTGAAATACATAAAAAAAAACAAAATTTTAGTTGAAACGCAAATTTTTTCATTGCTCTTTTAATTTTGCACAGGTGCTTTGTTCGGCGGTGTTGTAGGTGGTTTCTTTTTGCAATTTGGCCGTCGCAGACTGTTGACTTTTATGTCGTTACCGTTTTCATTATCATGGATTTTGACAGTGTTCGCAACATCAGTGGTTCCCATATTAGTGACAGCGTTCGTCGGTGGTTTTTGTTGTGCAATTGTGTCCATGGTGACCCAGGTATAATAGCCACTAAAATTTTGAAATGAAAAAAATCAATCAACATTTCTAAACACTGTATATGCTTCTCTATATAGGTGTACATCAGTGAAATCGCATCGCCGGATATTCGTGGTTTTCTGTCGGCCATTCAAAAGATTGCAGGCCATGTGGGCATATTGATATCGTTTTCATTGGGTGCATATTTGGATTGGCGACAATTGGCAATGCTAGTCTCGATTGCACCGATGCTACTATTTTTCACCGTGATTTACATACCCGAAACGCCAAGCTTCTTGGTTTTAAATGGTCGTGATGATGAAGCTTACAGGTACATCACATTTTTAATGTTTATCAATGACGTCTTTGATATGAATTCCAAATCTAAACCAACATTCCATCACTTTTAGATCATTACAGTGGCTACACGGACCCAATAAAAACATTGAGTTGGAATTGGAAACGATTCGATCGAATATTCGAGCAGCTAAACCGCGCCAAAATCCATTTCCAACACTGCCCGTAGGAAAAATACTGTCAAAATCATCAATGCAAACAATTTACACGAACATCAAATCGGTACTTAAAAACGTGCGAATTATTAAGCCGATCGGAATCACTTGTGGTCTTATGGTGTTTCAACGATTTACAGGTAAAACACGAATACACATCACCATCAAATTGAATGCAAATTTTCATAAAACAACCACACTCACTTTGCAAAATTTCAATTTTAATCAAACACAGGGGCAAATTCATTTGGTTTCTATGCCGTAAAAATATTTCGCCAGACATTTGCTGGTATGAATCCACATGGTGGTGCAATAGCCGTTAGCTTTGTACAATTATTGGCTGCAATGTTGAGCGGACTGCTGATCGACACCGTTGGACGTATTCCATTGTTGATAATCAGCAGTGTATTTATGTCGTTAGCTCTTGCATCATTCGGATCATACGTGTACTATGAACAATCAAATAAATTAATTGCAAGCACCAATTTTGATATGGAAGCAGTCAATACTGATTGGATACCATTGTTGTGCGTGCTTGTATTCACCATTGCGTTTTCATTAGGTAAGCAGAAATGTTTTAATTCGATTATTAGAAAACCGGCTTTTGATTGAGTCTATTCGGCTCCTTCGCATTCCATCCGGTGTGTGAAGGTTTTTATCGAATTTTAGTTCGAGAGAGAACTTAATTGTTCAATTAAATTTTATGTGTGCCCCATGGAATAGAGACGTCTTAAGCTTTTATTGCAATTTCATACAAACGAATGCAATCGTCAAACTGAATTATGTTTGAATACAAATTGAATTTGAACGAAACTTTATTATCTTTTTAAATTCTATTTATTCAGGTATTTCACCGATATCATCGTTGCTAGTTGGTGAACTATTTCCACTTGAATATCGTGGCATTGGCAGCAGCATAGCGACCAGTTTTAGTTATTTCTGTGCATTCATAAGTGTCAAAACGTTTATCGACTTTCAGGTATGTGTACGCTGTAAAAAAACAGTCGTTAATCAAGACGAGTGCCATTTGATTTTTTTTTTCGAAAAAGACACAGTCCTTTTTTTTAATTATAATTTTTTTCACACCAATTCTCTTTCTCTCCACAATTGCAGGAGTTATTCGGATTGCATGGTGCATTTTGGCTATATGCGGGCATCTCGTGCTGTGGCCTATTTTTCGTTGTGATGTGTGTGCCAGAAACGAAAGGAAGAGATCTTGATGAAATGGATCCAAAATACGAACGAACAATGACAATAAATCGATGAGATATGGGAACTCACGTAGAATATTTAGTGTAGTATTTTGTAGAATCATTTAATTTTTCTAGTTTTATCTCTGGTGCACAATGTGTGTGTGTTTTTTTTTTGTATGTTTGCAATTGTAATCGCGTCATCATCGTTGTGAATGCGTTCGCTCGTATGTATGTGTAAAAATATTGAATATGATATGACGTTTGTGTTGTATCCATGCGCTGCTTTTTTTTCTATTTTGACGTCAGAGTATCTCTTTTTTTAAATGCACACAAAAAAAGAAACAAATAATTCATTTGTCTGTTTAAATACATGTACTAAACTCGGAAGTATTAGCTTAATTATTATTTTATACGCAACGCACACATACGCATTAAGTATTTTTTTTTGTTCGTTTAATTTACATAGGAAAGCTTTTCGCTATAGGGATATTAAGTAGTTTTTAACAGTCTAAAAAAAATCAAACTCAACCAATTTGTGAAATAGTAGGGATAATATATCATATCGACGACAAGCATCATGACGATGTAACACAAGCCAATGTGATGATAAGCAAGAAGTATTTATGATTACCATTTTCGATCACATCATATCAAAACAAAACAAAAATTGAAATACACACATACACAACACAATCACAAAAAGAAGACGATACAACTAAATAATTATGCGGCATTAAATCGTTGAACGATTTCATATATACATATTTAGATATATATTCAATGAATGGTGCACATTTTATCGGTCATAGTTTTTTGATTTTGTAAGATTTCTTTTCTAAAAATTTAATTTTAAGAGTCTACTTTTGGTTCGATGTATTTATTTTTCTTTCTGATTTTATATTAAAAAAATTTTTTAAACCTTGCGCAAATCGTTGCGCAAAATATTTTTGCTTTACTTTGAATTTGTTTTTTTTTCTTCGTAAAGTTACATTTTTTCGTAATCAAGAAGTGAAATATGATGCATATCGGATGGAAATAATATCAATGCTCAATTTTTAATTCAGTAATATATTTTTGAGACATGGACTTTTGATATCAATTTTTCAATTGCTCAACATAAAATGTTTCCAAATTCGTGAATAATTTCAATTAAATACCCCCTGAAATTCTATAGTTTTCGAGAAAAATACTTCTTCCCAAGACTCAAATTTAATATTTTAATCTTTTTTTGCTGGTCTTTTCTTTCTCTTTTTTTTTAAATCGGGCCAAATTTTGCACTTGAATCGAAAGCACATCTCATTTAAAAAACCACTGGGTATTTAATTGATGAGGTTTTATTTTTATGGAAAACGAAATTGTGTCGATTTTTCGTGTTAAACGAATACCATTCTAGAGCGGTAGATATATATAAGAGTAATAGTAAGTGAGCAATGCTTAACCGAATCAAAATTCAATTAAATTGCATCATCTATATAATTTTTACAAAATTATAAGAAAATGCTGAAAAAACTTATCCTAATTTCTTATTAGTGCTTTAAATATTCTAATTAAATTTAAACTCAAACTCAAACTAATGAAAAATAACTGAACATTTGTTTAATGTAAAAATTTGAGAGGATAAATCTGAACAATAATGGCAAATCAAAATGAAAAAATTCGTGACGGAGACAATAATATTGAACAAATGACAAATAAACCGAATATATGAAATGAGTTCTCTTGAGAATAAAAAATAAATAAAAATAAAATTATTCTACATCGACTTCCGAAATGTGACTCGTTTCGAGCTTTGACAGCTTTAAATACTTAATATAACAATATTCAATAAACGTATTATTATTAATTTTACTGCAACTGTAGTATCAGGTAGAAAACTATATTGATGGTTTTTTTTTTAAATGGTGAATCCTAACAACCAGATGACAATAATAAAAATGAATTATAATCAACGCCTCTTGTGAGTGTTTTGTGCGCAAATAATATGAAACACAATCTAACTGAAACAAAAAAAAATGAATTACCGACTAAATATTGTCTAGCTATCATCAAACTCATTTATAAGCAGAGATGATCTATATAAAATTGTATTTATTTTGAAATTGTAAATAAATCAAATGATGCGAGCAGCTCAAATTGGAAATGGAATATACGAATAAATTAATCAAGAGGATGACATTGTCTATATATTTCTCTATCTGATTCATTCGAATCAAATTATTTAAAAAAAAAACATACATACATCTATGCTATTCTTCAGTATTTGTTTATAAAGAAGAGAATTGAAATAATCCTGATATTTGTTGCTAATTCGGTCATGAAACGGAGTTTGATTGATTGGTCAATGCAATATGTTGATTTTTTCTTTCGATTTGTACACACATATTTGATTGAAAAATGCAACATCTCGCTTAGAACTTTGTTTTCATTAATAAATAGAGATAGACATTATACCCACAATCTCTGACAATAACTAACTTAAGATGAAACAGAATGACGAATAAAAACAAAACGAAAAATTGAAACAGACTTTGGTCTATGCTATGGATGCTTTTTTTACTATAATATTAAATTAAAAACATTGAAATTGTTGTAAATTTTGTTTTTGCTTATGATTGATGATGAAAAATACAGAACGTTGAAAATTGCTGATGAACTTATGAATTTATAGCGGTACTTAAAATGAAATAATATACGAACAAAACATTATTATCGTAGTGATTATTATCAGTAAAATTATACGAAACAAAAATCTATATATTCATTGAATTAAATTGAAACTGCAACACACATTTTTATTGATTCGATTTAATCCGCTAATCACACTTCATTCTCCACAATATTTTACAGTCATATATTATAATCAAATGTGTCGAATAACATAAATTATTTTCCCGAAAAAAAATTACTATTCGAAAATTTAAAAAAACCAGACACATATATCACCATCACTATCATAGTAATTAACCGGACTATTTGTTCGGAATGAGTAATTTTGGTAATTGAAAAAAAAAACTGTGTCGCTTGAAAAATAACAACAACGTACAATTTTAGAGAGATCAGCTCAATCATTTTAATTTAATGTTTACAACTTTCCGATTCAATTAGATGAGAAACAAAAACCCATATAAAAATATAGAGAAATTATCAAAACAAAAAAAAAATCTTCCACATTCCGGTGCCTTCCATGCGTTGTGTATGAACATGAAATTATGATTAAATAATAAAGAAGAATCCATACCCAAAATACCTTTATTTCGAACGACTTTGAATAGTTTTATAGCGAAATCGAATTCTAATTGAAAACATTTCTTGACAATACACAACCCCAAAATGTTTGATTTGATTTTTTTATTTACCGAGGAGGGAAGAAAATATTCCCAACAAAATTCCATAGACCGACTTTTTTTTTGGAAATGTTAATACAATCTTGTAGCTTTAAGACAAACCCCTGTGAGTACTAATTTTGTAAATAATAAACCATAAATATGCACAGACAGACACAATTGTTGCAAATACATCGTAATCTGTGAAGAAAACCAGATGAAATTGCTCAAAATAATGGGCAACAGAACCACGAAAATGAGCGGAAAATATGACAATAATAATCCACTCGCAGCCTGTATTTATTAAGAGTCTTTTTAAATGGTAGCATAACAACAACAAAAATTGAATAAATTATAATCAATAATTGAATAGCAAGTCCCAAATTTTATTATCAACCAAATAGAATGGCATCGATCAATTGATGGCTTGAACTGTATAACCATTTCTTTTAAGGTATATATGGAAATTGTGGTTTAAAACACTGCCACCGATTCAGTGTACTGCCATTATTGAACTTATCGATTTTCGTGTACATAAATCGAATCGCCGATGAACAAATATTTGAATTCAAAACGCTCATATATAATATTTTTATCCTTGTTTGTGGTTAGGAACAAATTCGTTCTTGAATAACCTGTATAATTTTTGTATTTGAGATAAAAAAAAATGAGAAGTTAAACTTTGTTTTACTTTCGTATCAAGATATACAAATTGATAAAAAAAATCCCAATTGATCTACACATCACCCGATGTAATATACTTATTAAGACATTTTAAGGATGAATCCTGCCATTCGAATTACAAAATTATTATTATTATTATCATGATTATAATAACATATTAAAGAAATACCGAGGCAAATCAATCGAAACAATTCATAAAATATAATGCAGAAAATAAAAGTGGTAGTTGAGCGAAACAAATTTTTTGATTGATAAAAGTCATGAATACTAGACGATGGTTGGAACCATCTCTCTAATAAAAAAAATTGTAAAAGGATGGCTTCGATTGTCTTTTGAAAAATGGATGCCACACAAAATAGTAGACAATAAAAATTGAGAAAAAAAATACAATTACTGAAATGTTGACTTTTGGAATTCTTGTTTGTTTGCTTTTTTTTATAGTTACATTATATCCTTTTTTTATTTGCATCGTTATATTTATCCCTTTATATTCGCATCTTTTATGCATCAACAATGAACTATGGACCAAAGCATAAAAAATGGAATTTTTTGGGCTTTATGGTGTTGTCATAAAGAAGGTAATGTATATTGTATTTCATTTCGGATAGTTTTTTTGTATTCAAATAATTTTGAAGGTACGTATTTTGAAATTGACCATATCAAATGTTGAATTTCAAACAACCTTCTGTGACATTTGACAGTTTTCGCACAATCAATGTAGCGTATAATGAAAATAAACAAAAACAAACTACTGACCTAACCTCAACATTTGTTGAGCCGAGGATGTCGAAAGATAGTTTGATGGTTGAAGCATTGTTTTGCATCACGACATTTATCATTCACACAGTAATATGGATTTGGTCACTCACCTGTCGGTGGATTTGAGTAATATGTTTCGCAATCCACAAGAAATCCACCCGTTTGTACGGCTCCCAATGCCAACAATCTCTTTGTAAGATAGTCAATTATAATCGGCCCCGTTTTATTTTCCGGAATTGGGAAGGGTTGAAGACTGTATCAAATACAGCAAAGAACAAAGAAATACAACATAAATTTTAATATGGAATACATATGGTATTGAGGGAAATTCTAAAATTGAATCTCATTAAAACTGATATTGCACTGTTTGACATGCATTACAAATAATCTTACATTGTAACACCCATATTTGATGTGCTGTGAAGGTAATTCAGTTAAAAATGCACAAACACTTCACTAAAACAATGTAGACAGCCGTTTTTATTCACTGAATTGAACAAAAGTAGCGCAGTACCGGCTTAATTACTTGCAATCACAATATATACAAAATTCGAGACTGTCAAAACCTTGAAATTGTATTTATTAGACATATGGAATGCATGATACACACATATTCACATATTCAACAACGCTTATATGGACAACTACGTCGTGCGTAGTTCGACAATATGTGTTTTGTATAACACTTTGTGAATGACAAAAGTTGGGAACTTTGAAAAATATATACTTTGAATGAGGGAAGCGCAAATAATCGACACAAATTATTTTAATAAAAACCATGCAAATATAATCTGTTGATTTGATGTGTTCTAAATATAGACAATAAAATTCATTGAAATTTTAAGTAAAAATGTATACGAACTCCCACTGACAAAATTACTGACGCAATAAATCGAAAAAAAGGGAGAATGAATAAAAAATGTATTGCAGCAAGGAAAATGTCTTGAACCTTTAAATCTATTCCAGCCGAGTCGATTTTTTTTCTTTCTTTATGTTATTTTTGCGTTCCTTTGATTCAATAAAGTGATTTGCATAAATTATCGATGACTGCACAATCCCTTAATTATGATTGACATGATCACAATGAGGCACGTTTATTATCATAACGCTGGTATTACGTACATCAAGCGATTCCAAGTATTTCTTATGGCTTGCAATTGAAATTGCATAGAAAATATATGCTAAATAATAAACCAGCTTGCTAATAAATTTTACGCGTTACAGTGAAAAATGTCAATGATTTTTCTAATACTTTTTAGTTTTTCTTTGGGTTGGATGATTGGGGGCGAGATGAGTTTGAGCCACTTTGAGAGCATTCAGAAATTTAATATTTCATGTGTCAATTATCGGCGTTGAAGAGGCGATCCATGAGGTATTGGCAACATCTTTTCTTCTCTATTTTTGTTTAATCCATCGCTTCCTTCGAAACGGAAATCGTATATAAGTGGTGAGCCGCACTGAGTCTTATATCAAACGAAATTCGTTGTTTCTTTGGGCAAGACCTTTCACCCAGAAGCTTGTCTCACAAAGTATAATTTAGATTAAGACATAAAGTTCTGTTTATTTTTCAAGTTTGGACTAATAATTGCAAGAACGAGAAAAAAAATGGGTCAATTATCAGTAACAATTGTAACATCATTTTTTGTGGTGTTGACATACTATTTGGTGATGTTCAGTGTTTTTGTGAGTGCAACACCGACAAATACGGCAGAGAGAGCTGATGATACACCAGTACAAGTTGACACAAACAGAAATGGTGCCAGACTTTTCAAACCAATGGTCTACGCATACAACTTCAATCGAAATATTCGAACACCATTTAGTAGCAGTATGGTGGGACAACGATTAATGCCAGCTGTTCAGCATAAAATACAACCGCTGGAATTGGATTTACTGGTTGATGACGATGATTTTATTGATAAAAGTAAAAGATACGATGACTATGGCCATATGCGTTTTGGCAAACGCGGAGATTCAGATCAATTTGATGATTACGGTCATATGCGTTTTGGTAAGAGAGCCGGAGCCGATTAAACTGATGACGATCCACGATTTTTAAATTTGAAAAAATCAATATCCAAAGAAGAAACAGCAAAAGTTAAATGACTTCCAATCACGTATTGATTACATATCTTATTTGAGGGAGATTTCGAGTAAAGATTTTCAGACGAAATACAAATACATGGAGTACACGCCACCACAACACATTTGATATTGATTTGAATTTGTGTGATGTTCAATTTTCTGTAAATATATAATTTCCAGCATGAAATGAATAAAAATAAAATATTCGGAAAATCAAGAGTTTTTTATTTTATTCGTACATATGTTTCGCCAATTTTTTAAAACTTTTTTCCATTTTTGGTCATTATAACTATGATAATAATCGTTTCCAATTACCTTTTCACTAAAATTGGTTTTTTTAAAAAAATGTTAAACTTTTAATATTGCATATATTTCAGCTAACATTTATTCCGATTGAAGACTAATCGCTAGATCAACTTTTTACACAGCTAATTTTTCTGCTAAACTCAATAATTTCCTTTACAGTTCTTTTCCTTTTCTACATAAATAAATTTCGAAAACGATAATGATGGCAAAGAATAAAATGAGAAATTTGATATATATATATATGCCAAATTAGAAATAAGGGATCATTAATTTTTTAAGTCTTATTATTGGTTTTTGTTGTTTTTTTTTTTAAAGGTAGTGGAAATGGAATAGTTCCTCTATAAAAGGTAGTGTCCATTGATTGTTCCATCTTTTGAAGCAACAGATTCAGAGTGATTCAACGTGAAAACGAGCCACCCATGAATAAATCACAAATTCCTTCAGTTCGTCTCAAGGTGCAAGTATACTTAGAACGGGGCGGACTGTAATAATAAATGAAATAAGAATTAATAACGGATTCATGTCCATAAAAATTAGTTTTCGGTCATTTAAACCATTAAAATACCTGAGTCGTATCAATGGATGAGCTTGATTGGTATTCTGAGTCGCTGCAAATGAACAAAGACAATATGCTACATTATTAATTTATGTTTAATTGAAAACAAAAACTAAAAACATGAAAACAAAAATAGTTGTACCTACATTCAAGCCAATCTTCATCGAAATTACGTTTCCTTTGGATGAGTGAGGGTCGATAGCCGAGAAGAGTTTCGGCTGTAATTCGTCTTTCTTCTGCATCTTCGTCATCGTCGTCTACTTTGATGCGTTTTGAGTCTGGTTCAACAATGATGTCATCGTTTTTAACCTCGATACGTTCTGGCTTTCGACGGCGACCCGGTCTTCGATTTCCGATCGCATTAGTCTTAGACTCTGGTTGGCTTGCCGAAGCTGTACTGGATTGACTTGCCAACGTTGAAGTTTGTGATTCATTCACATCGCTATCTGTCTCATTTTCATCGGCGATTATTCTCCGTTCTACCTCTCCATCAGTGGTAACCAATCGTACGTCAATTTTTTTATATAAGGCATTCAATCGAAGCGTATGATTTTTCGAATTATCTTCCACTTTACTCGTACCTAGAGTTGATCAGAAGAAAAGAATGGGATAATCAATGAGTAATGGAGCAGAATGGAAAATGAATCGAAGGAATGGATCAGAAATTGTAGAGTAATGGAATAGGAATTTTTAAGTAAGTATGCCTTTACTCGTACCTTCGCGTATTGTATCGCATTTTCGTACAGTTAAAATTACTGACTCTTTACCAAACACATCCAGTAAATCATCTCGCGTCACATACGAAAAAAATTCGTTCGATGGACTTTTTCTAGCCTGTTTATAATTTTCTCTCATCGCTTTGCACAATCTATCTAAATCCTCTTCAGTCTCACGCAAATGATTGAGTCTAGCTTGCATTGATGACACTTTATTACTCAATACGCTCATGTCACCATCCTTGACAACACCTCTAAAATAATAATAACAAAAATATAATAATAAATCCATCTGATTTTCATAACAAACATAAAATATATGAAATAAAATCGACATTTATTATTACCTCCATTGTACACTATTTTTGCTTTTCTTTTGAATGAGACCGATTCCCTCAAGTACATTCGTAATATCGTATATTCGACGTTTTTGGCTTACGTTCAATATTTCGGCTGCCTAAATTCAATAAAAAAGCAAAATTCTTACATGAATTTTCGAAAAAACAATCGACAAAAAATGTTGTCATCGCAAAAATGCTGTTTGCAAATATTTCGTGGAAAAAAGATTTTAACAAAACTCGCGCTCATAGTTTTGTCAAAAAAGAAAACATGTCGTCTGTGACTGTAAAAAGGGCGCAAAATACACTTGCTATAACACATCTTTATAACCAATTTGAATAAATAACCACAACATATCACACCGAATATATGTGAAAATGGACTTTTTTTATGACTTTTTCATGTTTTAATTTAAATTTCACCAAACTACTTGTGTATTTATTGAACACTTACAGTTTTCAAGTCTAATATTCCATTTTTCGATGACAATAGCAATGATACGAATTTACGTGTTAACAAACTAAGCGATTTTTCATTGCGTTTGCCATCGATAAATGCATCCGATTCTGGGCTTTCCATTTTTATATAATATTTTGAATTGCCCGCAATCAATTCGATTTTTGTTATTTCTTTTAACAATTGATTTTAAAAACTGAAAAGAAACGCGCTTGATGGGTATCTATGAATTCGTTTAGTTATCAAACAAGAGAACTAATGAAATGATTTTCACAGCCGCGCCATTTGGGTTGCCAATAATATGACAGAACAGCTTTGTATTGCCAGCGCACAATCACTACGTACGTAATATCCGCAACGATGCTTACGTAGTGTGGTACGTGATTCGTAATGTGTGTTTACTTCTTTTGATATGTATATTTGCGTTGTACGAAATTCAATTTTTGAAATTTTGGAATATCTAACGAAAATGACTTTTTTTGGCGAAAATAATTTTTGTGCTATTAATTATTTCACAATACTTCTCTAAAAATGCATCAGAATACAATGATTGAGATCACAGATACGATTTAAATAAAAACCGTTTCTCGCTTCGTACAAAAATGGAAAGAAATGGTGGAATATAGCCAAAAATGTATTACTTTTAGGTTTATAAATGTTAATATTCTATGTCGGTAGAATATTTTTCAAATTGATGTTTTTTCTGAATGACACAATTCGTTTTTCCTGGAACCAGTATAGGAAAAAAAATAATGATTTTAAATTTTTCAAATCAGATGAAGGGAGCAGCACATTTAAAAAAAGTCGTTAAAGAAATGGAGGAAATCAAGGAAAAGACTTTGTTACCATTATCAAGTATTGCGTTAGCTCTTGCATAAATGCCAGGATGTGTTCCCATAAGTTTCACAAATATTGATGAAGGTAGAATCAAGTTTTTGAGCGATGTTTTCCAGATTATATCGGGATAATATTTTTTCTTATTTTAAAACAGTTTTCTTCTAAATAATAATAAAAAAAAAAACATTTAAAAAGTGAGATACTAAAATCAACCCACCCGTTCTTATAAGCATCATAAAGCCTGTCATCGAAATAAATTGAGGCACAGATGAATTTGTTTATTCCAAAATTTTATTACGGTTCGCTAAAAATTAATTCCTTCTAATAAAAAGGCGGGCAACATTTTCGAAACGTTTGCCCAAGTATAATGCAATTTCCAGAGTCTTATTAATCTTAATTAAATGAGTAATTAAATAGTTAAACACTAAAAGAATTCCAAACGAAGTGACACTAGTCGCTTTGCTCGTATCTTTGTTTCATCATTCGTTTAATATAAGACCGATAATCATCGCCAGGCACGAAACTTGTTGATTTAGAGCCCAATCCAGCGCTGCGTGCTCTACTTTCCGCCTGTAAACAAACACAAGATTTTCATATTTATGTTCATACAGATGATTGTGAAATATTCAAATTTAAAGTTGCTTTTTACTCACTTCAATAATGTTTGTTCTTCCTTGATTACTCTTTCCCAGTCCTTGACCCTCTGACCATCCCATTTTCTGAAGCAGTCTATTACCAACATTCGACTGATCAATAGGCACATTCGCCAGATTGGAAGTGGTTTGCTTTTGCATTTGAGCCGTTTGTTTTCGTATTTCTTTTTCAAATCGTTCGCGAGATCGATTAGGTGGTGGAGGATCCACCTCGCCGTATTTCAGACGGCGTTCTTTAGCTCTGTCTCTGTACGCCATGCCATTTCCGCTTGCACGTTCATTTTGTGCATTTAAATTGAGCTTTTGTAGATTTTCTTTGTGCAAATTTGACATTTTCAGATGCTTGTTCAGAATCTCTAGAGACTGGAATGCGCGTTTACACAACAAACACGTCAATTTGGAAAAATCAACTAAGTCCTTTTCGCTAAGAGATCCACCATTTCCATTTGGTCCACTTTGATCCGCTTCATTATCCGAATCAGAGGCATACGGCAGTAATTTATTGAGTGCTTTACCGGCACCGGCATCCAACGAAGGTTTCATGCGTGTTTCACGATTTTCCATTATTGTAAAACCAACATCGGCATAACCATTTCCAATTCGTTGCAACGGTGCTTGACGACTACTCGATGGTTGAACGATTGGCTCTTCAATAGCTTGCATCGGCTGAAATGCATTCTCTTTCTTTTGATTCAATTGTTTTGCCCATCGTTCCATGTCTTTTACAATTTTCTTTGCCACTTTCACTTTGTCTTGTTTTGGATCGTTCCGTTTGCTATCGCTGTCTTTGCTATTGTCTTCATTTCCATCTGTCGCTTGAGCATTTGATCCATTTGATGATGCGACTGCTGCCGTTGTACTATTTAAAGCACTTTTATCACCATAACATGCGGACATTGAATCCGTATTATTCGCTCCGGCATCCGATTGTGATGCTAGCACATAGGTCTGTGAATCTTGATCCCAGTAGAGATACTTTGCAATTTCACTATTGTAATAATATTGTGAATTGGCATCATAGTATAAACCAGTTGTTGGATCGTAATAATAGCCAGATGTGTCATCGTATTGGTACTGTGTACTGTCCGGAGTTGCTAAATGAAATAAATAAAATAAATAATAAATAAATAAAATGCCATAAAATTGTGAGAAAAAAATCGTTTGGTAAAATCTTAAGGGTCACTTACGATATTTCCGATTATCCTGTCCATTTGGTATTTGTAGTGCGGCGGCGGCAACAGATTGCGCTTGAGAAATTTTCTCGTACTGTTTGTGTTGTTTCCGTTGAATGGCTGACAGTGCAACAGCCGCTCCTGAATTGGCTGTCTCCCCGATTTGACTTATTGTCGGTATGTTGCTATATTGCCCGCTATTTATCTGCTCCGTGTAATAGTCCGTATAGTATTTATAATAGTGTTCCTGTTCGGCAGCATTTTTAGCATAAACCGAAGCACTGTATTCGGCCAAACGTGGTACATCGGCTAAAGTATACTGCGATTTGCTACTTTGCATCGAATCCAGATGGGATTTGCCACTGTTTTGGCGCGAATGAATTTGTCGATTATCGGAATCAACACAGTACGTTATGATAATCTCTCGATTGTCAATATTCAATGGAGGCTCAAGTGACTTTAATGCGTTATGCGTATTCATCGAATCGACAAGATTATCGAAAAATAAATAACAAATTCCGCGAGATGTGGATGTGAGCGGGTCACGACAGATGAGTATCTTGGAAATTTTTGAAACAAGCGTCGGAATGACATCTTGCATTGAGGTTAATACTCCTTCCTCATTTGTTAATACATCCAGATTTCGTAGCATGATTTCTATACATAGAAATAACTCGAGTTAGAACAATAATTGAATTGGATTGATATCACTTACTTTTCGTCAAAATATTGCTAACTTCATCGCTTCCCTCGCCACCTTTTTCGCTTTCTTCCCGCGATGCGCTACATTTGAAGCAATTATCACGACGCTTGAAATTGAAGACACCACACTGAAATATACACGATGAAAATCATAAATACGTTTTTTTTTATTGATAGTCGATTAACTCTAGAATTACTCGTTTCTCACTTACTTTTGCACAATACCAATCGGTTAGGATTTTATCATGACCGCTCGATTCCTTAGACACACTGTACTGCATAATGGCACGGTATTGATCTTGAATCATGAGCACACCCTATCACAGAAAAGAGAAATGAGAAAATACACAATTGAATTAGTAAATGTGGCTCTTAGGACAACTGAATCGTTGATCTCCATTTAAATAGATAAAGATGCATAAATCTATTCTGCGTATCATCGGGTCATTTTTTTCCATTTGAGAAAAAAACGTTTGTTTTCGTACTAAATATAAATCTTTGTGCGCTCCACGTGAAGCGAACAAAGTTCATTTCGAATCGATTTGCTGCGAAGTTTAGAAATAAATGCTTTTGTTTATACTTTAATTGTTGCAATGTAGTTTTAAAAAAATAATCAAGTCTCTACGAAAACATCTGAACGATTTTTTTTGAAAAAGAGTTTTCTTTTTTTTCAATCACAAATTCCGATTTAGTCGCAATAGAGTGTGAATATGGACAATGATCTAAAACAAAAACGATATGACTAGAGCTGAATTAAAATCGTTTGCATGACAATAAATGTCCATTGATATCATGTAATCAAGGAGAAACCTTTCGAAATGCAATTAAAATTAGACCAATTTAAATTTCATTTCAATCGATTTGATAGTTATTTGTCATTGCCACGATTTTTTTTTCTTCATCACTTCATTTTTGGTTCTATGCAGATTTCGATAAAAGCTAATGGCACTTTTCTCATGTCTATATTTTTTTGGTTGTTGATGTAAAAAGAGAAAAAAAAACTTTTTCCTTGGTCGCACACAACATTTCACTTTTGATCAGTATCAGTTCGAGGCGCAATCGAGTAGATCATTGACACATTCGAGTTGTATCACATCACACTACGTTTCACAATCAAATATTTCATTTCTTTTCTTTTTTTTTCTTCAAATATTTGGAGCGTGTGTGTGCGTTTGTGGAATAGGAGTCTGTTTTGTGATTGCTTGAACTGCGCCAGATACCTGTTTATATTCCATCCAGCGAGTTGCTTCCTCTTCAGTATTAAACTCCACAAAAGCAAAACCACGTGATGTACCTAAACGTCGTGGAGAAGAGAGCAAAAGAAAGACACAAAAATATACGATATCAATACCTCCAACAAAAAAAATAAAAATGTTGCATCAAAATTGAGACGATTGAGATTGAGAGATTTTGACTTAATTCACACTAGTGAGTGACGTTTTGCTAGTCGTCGATACGATGCACTTTCGATTTGATTGAAGCGAGCCTGTTACACATTTGAATCGAATGCCGATATAAATGACCAACCGACTTAGACGTCTTCACTGTCATTTCATTGTGCCCAGATTTTTGTATCCTTATACTTACACTTTAGAAGCCGATAAATTGATAATACATTAGATGTATTCAATTTTCTTTCAACGATTCCCAATTTCAAATTTAAATAACAGAAAATGGCAAAAACAACGGAAAGGCGACTTTCGAAACCAAGTTTTAACCAAAGCAATGCAATTCACTTAAAAATCACTAACTCTTTATAAATAGAATGAATTGGATAACTACCTGTCTTTCGTTTTCGAATCAGACGAATCGACTGAGGTTGAATGCCACACATATGAAGATCCGCATTAATCTGCAATTTAACAAAAATAGAAAATTAAAAGGTTGAAAATAATCCGATTTTCCGAATAAAAACTGGCTTTCAATGGTATACATACATCCGCTTCAGTCAGGTGTTTGGCAAGACCAAGAACGATGATTTTGTTGCTGGGCGTTTGATTACGATAATTGACATGCTCACTAAACACAACAATTCAAGCAAATTCAATCAATATTTAAGTGGTTTAAAAATGTAGTCGACACTTACTTGCTATAGCTGTCGTTGCTTGATTCCGATGAAGCTCTTCCACGAAAATTGTATCGATCTCTGTCTCTGCGATCACGCCTATTGTATCTATCTCTATCATCGTAATTTTGATCACAATTGTCACGATACGAATCTGGACTTGGAGGACCTCGACGATAAATTCTCTCTCTACTTAATGAACGACTGTATCGTCTACGTCGATCACTACATTAGGCATCATTCAACCATTTTCAAACAAACAAATCATAGCCGAATTTGTTTTGTGTTTTTTTGTGATGAAGGGAGAGAGAAAAGAATTAGTTGCGAAACACACTGTCTTGCCTACACCAAGTTTTTCATTTTGCTCATTGTTTTTTTTATTTTTTTTTATTTTGCTAGAGAAAATGAATTAGTAAATTCATTCAAACCGTGATCTAGATCTTGAACGACTATGTCTTCTGCGGCGACCATAACGCCTACCATCTAATTGGTCCGGGCTTCGCGAATCTGTGCCAAGAGAATAAAAATAAAATAATTTGTATGTGCATGAATAATCGAATACAGTCATTTTCACGTATATGTATAATGAGAATGGCACGAGTGCATGTAATTTCGAATAAAATGGCTTTACATGCACTGAACTATCAGAGAAAGGCCATACAAAAACACTAATATTATTGGTCGTCATGTGAACTATGCGTATGTATCTACAATACAATACAATACAATACATATAACATTATATTGAAGTACGACACCAAGAGAAATAAAAAAATGGAATTTATCTTTTAATCTATTTGTGGACGGCGCTTTTCACAATGTTATGTATAACATAACATTAATACTTAAATAGAAGTAATTTGAGTTGATTTTATCGCAAAAAATTATGAAATTTAATTCTGGAGCATATCCACTATAGAGAGAAAAAAAATATGGCGAACGTAGTTATGTCGAAGAAATATTCCAGTGTAACTTACGTCGATCCATTTTTGTTTAATTTGTCTCAATTTGATTTTACTGTCTAAATATCTTTCGAATTCCACCGCACGAATAGGATTGTTTTATTTAAATGCACAAATATTTATTTTATCATCACACTTTGAAAAATAAACATGAGATACAATTTTTATTATATGTTGGAGAAAATTTTCTGGCAAACTCATTCGTTTTGCTGTTTCTTTGTGAATGACTCGAACTACGTAGTAAATACGGCTGTCAAAAGTGAAACTAAACGTTTATGTGAGGTTCACGTATATGTGTATATGTTACATTTTTAATGTATTTTACGTTTCGATTCAGAGTCGCCACCGTAGCAAATACGAAATACGAAATGAATGTATGATTTTTTTTATTTCCATTGGTTTTGAATTGAATTTTCCATAGTTTTCCATGATACTTCAAAGTTGAAAAAAAGGGAAAACTTCTACATTTTAAATAGAATATGATTCTGATTTTTGCCTGTCATATCATATTCAGCTGTTTGAAGAATATATGACTTGATTTTTTATTTATTTGAATGTTCTTTCTGAACAGGTTATCATGGTGGTGGTCTGATGTTTGAAAAATGTAAATGTTGCACTGAAATTTTCTGTATTTTTGAAATCAGATACCATAAAATTTCAGTTTAAGATGAAGTTTGGAACCGATTTTGTTGAAAATAAATGTGAAAAGATATTTATAAGTTTTTCCACCGGTATGCTCATTATGAAAAGTTTCACAAATCTAACCTTTTAATATGCTTCTAAACATATGCTTTTAATGAGCAACGTTGTTCAATGATCTGTTTCCCAAAATGATATTTTGAGCAATCCACGCACGTGTATCTAAATTTAAACTTAATATAAAGGGGTCAAAGATGAAATTAACATATTTGTCTGAAATAAATTCTATTTGATTTTCTATTTGAAAATAAATATTCCATAATTTGGGCTAGAGCATAGCAAAACGAATGATTAACGTGATTTTCTTCGTAAAATCAATACATAAGATTTTGAAGCATGCATAGAAAAAATGTCTGAATTTAAGTCAAATGAATCGCTTACTCCGTTTATAATTTGAATGATTTCAACCGAATTTGTTTCAAAAGCATGTAATTGTTAAATATAGAGATTGTATGCATGGTTTCAAATGTACTCTATAAATCGATTTAATGTTAGCAGCGTAGCGAACATGAAATACGAATAAAATAGACGTACTCAATACGCCGCTGTTTACCAATTCTTTGGCAATGCAATACAAGACGCAATTGCGAACAGAGTAGAAACCAAAAGAATGGTTATTATTGTATACAAAACGAACAGTAAATGATATCATGCGTGTTTTGATTATACAATAGACTATATAAAAGCCGTTTGCCTTCCGCATGATCATCCGGGCAATTCTTGGAATGTAAAACTCCAAAAAATGTTTATGAATTTCGATATTTTTCTAGAAGCCTTGAAAAAAAAATTCAATGTTCACTTCACATTTCTCTGATTAAATCGTGGAATACTGCGCTCTCAAAAAGTCATAAATTTCATGTTTTAATGACAACATATAGACTGTTGTCGATTCAAAAGAATCAAATGTCTTTATGTCTTGCAATGTAAACGATTGGTTTCGGCACTTGATGATTGAAAAGGATCGCAACACAATAAAAGCAAGACAAACGAAAACTGCCTCGGTGCTGTGAAGCACATCCACAATACATTGAACATTTGTGCTTCGACCGTGTATACAGTCACATTTCGAATTTGTTTGTACACAAATAGCCGTAACATCAAGTTGCATAAACTGAACCCGCATTCGTATCGGTGTGTTGTTGCCAATTGTTTTAACAAATGCACACATATAAAGCCGCTCAAATTAGCCTCTAGCGCAAAACGGACTGTGTATCTCGTTCATTTACTTTTTGGTCGCTGACGAGACAAGCAGTGTATTTCAATAATATCGACGCTTTGGAATTAGCAACGAAGAAAATATAACAAACTCAAGTAAGTAAATCAATGCCATTTTTATTAAATTTTCAAATATATCGGGAAAAATATTGATAATATCGCAGTCGCCTTTTTACGGTCTTTTTTTTAATAAAAAAGAAAATTCAAAAATCAAATGCATTTTTCAAGTCAATTGTTTGTGGTCATTAAATGTATATCGTCAGAAAACACGTAAAAACGGGAAAAGTGTGATTTTCTTCTTAAATTTCATTAAATCAATTGTTTTTTTGTGGTGAAACTTTTAAAAAATTCATATTTTCGGCGAAATTTTGTACAAAATTCATGTATTTCCACGTGTTTGTTCATCGTCTGACGAGCATAACGGAACCATTGATCGAACAATGCACACTCCATTTAGCGCTTAAAATGAATTGAACCATTTCTAATGGCACATGATTTGAAGCAAGCACAAGTCTTGGTGAAATGAGATTGAAAAAATCATAAAAAACGTGTTGTGTTGTGTTTGGCTACAAAGTTTTTTTTGTCAACGCACATTTGCGTAACCATAGTATGTTCGAGATTGTCGTGTAAAAATTGATTCCTCTTAAATTGTGTACCGAATCGGTGTTTGTCGGCCATTTTTGATCTATAAAAAAAAATTGAAATCTCGTCGGAGGTATCCATAAACGTTTGCATTGATATGTCTCGATTTACCAAACTTCCAAGAAATCATTCAATGTTGTCGGCTGATGCTATGCACCGTCAGCACAACGGTTTATATTTGATTATATTCGTTCGGTGTGTTTGACATTTACGAAATAATATTTCGTAATGTTTTTTAGAATCACTGACATTTGTATCCACTTGTTAATACTGAATACATCTGTCAAACAGAATTTGATGGTGATTTTTGATAAAATTATTACATTATTATTATAAAGAAAAAAAAAAAGACTTTTTTCTTTCAAAAAAGCAAGAATACACATACATACTGATGAGCAAATTTATACAATTTTCAGACATGGCTGATGAATGGGATGATGAAGTTGTTGTGAGTATTTTATTTAAGTTGATTGGAGGAGTGTTGATATTTTATAGATTCTGATGGTTTTTTGGTTTTTTTTTTATTTTCATTTCAATTTAGCCGGCAACAAAGCCAATAACCAATGTAAATACGGCAAAGTACAAACAGAGCCAAAATGATGGTTGGGATGACGATTCATCTGCTCCAGCAAAACCAACCAACAATAATCGCAGTCAAGGTAAATTAAATTTTTGTTGTTGTTATTAATTCATTGCCATTGAAATATTCTAAATGCTTTTGTTTTATCAATTCAGGCTACTCAAATTCGAAGACAAATGACGACGGTTGGAACGATGATCCAAAGCCGAACAACCGAAGCAACAATAACGGTAAATATTGTTTTATAATTTGATTTTTCAACAATTTATCTTGAAATTGGAAATGTGAATGTTCTTCCATCATCGAGCTATATTAAACGATCTTTAGTATTCACTTGAAAAAGTTTTGATGATTGAGTTTTTGAATTTTAAAACATTTTGTTTTTTCCATCGCTAAAAACAAATTAGGTTGGTCTGGTGGTGCCAAGAAAGAAGATGACGGCTGGAACGATGAACCAGCCCAGAGCAAAAGCAATGGTAAGCGATTATCTGATGATTGGGGTGTGGACACACCTAATAGTAAAGTATCCCGTTTGTCAAACGGTAAAGACCGGTTGTATAAGGAATGGTTGACCATATTTTGCTTGAACAATTCGCCCTTTTGTTTAGTAATTTGGATTAGCTTTTTGCAGACAATATATTGAATTAACTGGTCAGTTGAGCTGACAGTACGTTAGCCAGCTAAATGGACCAAAACAATAGAAGTTATTGTTATAATGAACAATCACTTCTATTAAAACAAGAAAAGTGATTCATCATTAAAACAATAACGTCTATTGTTTTAGCCCATTTAGCTGGCTAACGTACTGTCAGCTCAACTGACCAGTTAGTTCAATATATTGTCTGGCTTTTTGTATTGCCCTCTTGTAATTCACCATTTTAATTCGTTTTTCGTCTATTTTATTCTAATTTTAGGCTGGAATGGTGGAAAGAGCAGTAACGACGATGGTAAGGGAATCAATTTATTTCATACAATTTTAAGACAATTTATTGAGTGCTCGTGATGTCATTCAATTTGTTCGGATAAATCAATTGCACTTTTATTGTTTTGTTTCAGGATGGGGTAATGACAACGACTCATCGACCAAGAAACCATTTGGCAACCGAAGTAACAATGGTAAGTTTCAGTGATAAGTCTGTTAGAATAAATTGGCAATGAATTTGATGCGTCATTTCAATTCGTTTGTGATTCATTTAGATCGTGGTCCACGCAAACCCGATTGGATTTGCAGCGAATGTAGTGCAAAGGTTTTCGGTTCAAGAAGCAGCTGCTTCAAATGTAATGCTGATAAGGGAGATTCAAAAGATGCACCAGATGATGGAAACTCGCGAGGCGGTCGGCCTAGCGACTGGATTTGCAGCGAATGTAGTGCAAAGGTGTTCGGCTCAAGAAGCAGCTGCTTCAAATGTAATGCTGATAAGGGGGATTCAAAAGATGCACCACCAGATGATGGAAACTCGCGAGGTGGTCGGCCTAGTGACTGGATTTGCAATGACTGCAATGCCAGAGTCTTTGGTAATAAAACATCGTGCTTTAAGTGTAACGCCGACAAAGGTGACTCGAAAGACGCACCTCCAGATGATGGCAAATCTTCCCGAGGCGGTCGCGCGAAGGATTGGATCTGCGACAATTGCCAAGCAAAGGTGTATGGCTCTAAAACAACATGTTTTAAGTGTCAATCAGATAAAGGCGATTCAAAGGACGCCCCAGAAGATGGCGATGATAGCAAGTCTGGAGATGGTGGTGGTCGCAGCGGTGGCCGTCCAGGTGATTGGACATGCACTTGTGGTGTTTCTAACTATGCATCGCGAAGCGAATGTTTCAAGTGCAACGAAGCAAAACCAGAAGGTGCCGGCGGCGGTGATGCCAAATTCAACAATGAGGTAAATATTCGCATTAATTTCATACTTTTTCATTTTTTATAAAATGTTTTCTTGAATTTTTACTTGTCTATTGAATTGAATTCAATTTAAATCTTGTTTTTTTTTGTCTTTCAATTTGCACAGGCAAACAAGGAATTTTATATTCCAACCGAAATTCAGGAAGGCGACTTGTTCAGCGCTGGTATCTCGAGCGGAATAAATTTCGCAAAGTATAAGGACATCCCTGTCAAGGTGACAGATAGTGTGCGCAATCAGGCACCGAAGCCGGCATCGTCGTTCAAGGAATGTGGTTTAAATGATTTCTTGTTGAGCAACATTGAGAGATCGGGCTACACCGTACCAACACCGATTCAACAAAATGCCATTCCAATCATCAAGGCCGGACGTGATTTGATGGCTTGTGCTCAAACCGGTAGCGGTAAAACTGCTGCCTTTTTGCTACCAATGATTAACGCACTGTAAGTAACGCAAAAATATTTATGAATTTTTATAAAAACCAGATTAGTAAATGAATTTGTTTCATCGTAGAATGGCTGACAATGCTCCGCTGAATATTGGTCGGCCATATGTTGTCATCGTGACGCCAACTCGTGAATTGTGCACACAGATTTATAATGAAGCACGTAAATTTGCCCAAGGCAGCATCATCAAGTGTTGTCAAATATATGGTGGAACTGCAACCCGACACCAGAACACCAACATTAACGTAAGTAATTGATTCATTTTAAATTCAATTTGAAATATACCTGATATTTGGCAAAATCGAGTTAATTCAATGGAAATCATCAAATATAATGTATTCAATGATAAAATGATGAAAAAAAAAATGAAACTAAAGTTATGAAATTTAATTTTTTTTTTCAATAACTAGAACGGTTGCCACATTTTGGTTGCAACGCCAGGACGTTTGAAGGATTTTTGTGACAAGACATACATCACCTTTGAAAATTTGCAATATTTCGTACTTGATGAAGCCGATCGTATGCTTGACATGGGTTTTGCACCAGCCGTCGAAGAAATTATGCGAATGCCATCGATGCCAGCAACTGGCAAACGTCAGACGCTCATGTTTTCGGCAACATTCCCCAATGACATCCAACGTTTGGCCGGAAAATACTTGCACGAGTATGTTTTCTTGACCGTTGGTATCGTTGGCGGTGCATGTCAGGACGTCGAACAAACCATTTATCAGGTGACCAAGTTTGAAAAACGTAACAAACTAATGGAACTTTTGAATGCCGAAGATCCAAAAGGAACAATGGTTTTCGTTGAAACCAAGCGTACCGCTGACTTTTTGGCGTCCTTTTTGTCCGAATCGGAACATCCGACAACATCCATTCACGGCGATCGAAAGCAATCGCAGCGTGAAGAGGCTCTTGCCGATTTTAAATCGGGCAAGATGAAGGTCATTATCGCTACTAGCGTTGCTGCACGTGGTTTGGGTATGTATTTACTTATTTATCGTTTGTCAATATCAATTGATTATGCTCATATTTTGTTTTCGTTTCATTTGAAAGATATTCCAAAAGTGCGTCATGTCATTAACTATGACATTCCAAAAAGTATTGATGACTATGTGCACCGCATTGGTCGTACTGGCCGTGTCGGAAATGTTGGCAAAGCCACATCGTTCTTTGATGCCGAGCAAGTATGTATCTCAGTCTTTTTCGTTTTGAACTCATTCAGTCAGTTGAAAACTAGAATCAAAAATGAACTTTTGTCATGGTTTCCTTTTTAGGACTCGGAAATCGTGTCAGACTTAGTTAAAATTTTGGAAAATGCCAAGCAAACAGTTCCAGAATTTTTGGCAAGTGGTGGTGGCGGCGGCGGTGGCGGTAACTCCAGCTCAGGATTTGGCGGTACTGATTTCCGTAGTAAATCAGCAGCTCCCCCCGCACACGGAGGCGGCGGCGATGATGAAGAATGGTAGACAGTATTCATTCAAGGAAAACTTCTGTCAAAAAACAACGCAAGTGCCTCTGCAAAAAAAAAACAAATTTACTTTTATTCTTACTATATTTGTGAATCTCACAGATTTAGTGATTAATATCACATTATTATAAATCTAGACATATTTTTTTATAATCGTTAATTTTTAAAAAAAAAAAAAAAAAAACAAATACCATTTAAGACATACGCTATGAAAGTGTACTTAAAAAAAATTATGATTAAAATTAGAATATGAAATTCTATAAAACGTATTAGTGTGAAATCAAAAAAGGGACAGTTGAGTTTTCATTCAAAAGATTTTCTTTCAGCGCCACCTAGTGTAATTCGAACCATCATATCATATCATGGAAAACTGTGCGTTTTCCCTATTTTTGGATGTACGACATTGGAAGTACAAATTTTCCAGCGTTGTCTAGCGTACGAGTTTTCCGACATTTGTACATTCAGTTCAATTCAGTGCTTCATAGTGAACAAATGCTTCATGAATGAGCTCAGTCACTCTACACAATGTGATTATCGGATAAATGTTTAAACAAGATACAATAACAGAACTCATATAATATTGTGAAAAAAAGATGGAAAAGGTTTGGGTGCATTTTTTATTGAAAGCAAACAATTAGATTTGGTGTATTTTTCGAAAAACGTACGTCCTCCGCCGAGAATCCAACAATTTTTTTTTGTCAAAATCTCATACTTCGGATGAGAGATAGTTTATTCCCACCCAAGCCCAAAAGTGGTTTTCAACTATTTACACACAATACGAAGAAAAAAAAACATCACCGAACATTTTATGATAATCGAATTGTGTGATATGAAAACCCGAAGCCTAAAAATATGAATATAAAACACTAATTCTGAACAAATTTAGTTCGGAGCCAATAAAATAATCACCTCTTCAAAAGTGTTTATAGTTTTTGTCTCATAAAAACGGAATACCGCATTGAAAAATGCCAAATCGTGTTTACATGCGTATTCGCCAATGTGAATGAACTTTATTGTGGTGAAGCATAAAATAATGAAAAAACAAACCCCATTGAAAAGGGAGAGATAGAGTGTGTGCAAGTGTGTATGTGTCACAAGATAGAATTTTGTACATAAAAAAACAGGAATTTATATACCCTAACATTTTCGTGAAGTGCAACACCGTAAACTTTTCTTTAAGTAATTTTCTATCCGCTTTCTTTGTTTATGAAGTGCAAGTGTTTCATGCGATTGTGTGGTAAGACCAAAAAACTGAATCGAACAAAAGAAAGGAATTTCATAGCCCATAAGTGCAAGCGATATGTGATTCACCTGGATTAATATTCAATCAGGATAGAAAGCGTAAAGTTTACACAGTAAAAGGATGAAAAGTGTTTATGTAACCAGTCAGGTTTGTTAGACACCGATCTATCGAGTTCGTTTGTTCGTAAAGTTTTCTTTTTCTTTCTTCTTGTGTTCGAAATTTGTGTATCTAGTTGTTGTGTTTATTCGTTGAAAATGTGTGCCACAAAATCCATAAACTCAATGATTTGATAGTGGCGAGAGAAGAAAAAAAAAGCGTCGTAACAACTCAGTTCAATCGAATTTTTAACTCAAAGTGCACATAATAAAACGTATATATACAGCCAATATAAAATAAAAAAACAAGTTGGAGCGAATGAATATGCTGGATCCAGTTACAAACGAAATTATTTACGCATCAAATGGATGCGATGAGATACATGAATCGGAAGATACGGGCACCGAATACGTCAACGATGATAACAATTTGGAATCAAATATTCGACGACGCAAAGGGAAAATAATATCGTGTGCCAAAGAAACTATCGAACAAGGTATGGATGGAATAGACTACATATATAATTTCATTGTAACAAAATTCTGAAAAATATTCAAATGGATTCATTTTATTCATGGTGCAGAATACACTGTCACCATCGAAGTGTCCTCATAAATGTTGGAGGCAAAAAGATTTATTGCTTGTATTACGATCTGCATAAAATAGCGGGCAGATTTTATTCTCCGCAAGAGAAAAAAAATAGTTAGAAGAGCTCATTCATTTGACTGCCAAAAGCAATTACTTCATACTTTGCACAATTTTAAACCGTTTTCCATAAAATTTACACCAAAGAAGATTCGGTGAAGACTTTTCATAGTGTCTTACCACCAAAAAAGCCAATCTAATTAGCGATAGCAACGGAAAATTTAATTAAATGAGAAGCGACAACATTCATTTTTATGCAAAAAAAAACTTTTTATGTTGTGCTGAGATGCCATTCCTTTCACCACTTTCCATGTTTTTCACTGAATAATAGTTTTTTTCACTTGTTATTTTTTCCACAAGTTATTCATGTTGGGTTTTTTTGATACCCTCCATTCCATTATAATTTCGTTCAGAGGACGTTTTAATTTTTGCTTCATAAAAGTATCCGTGATGTGTATATCGCATCACATCATAAACGTACACAAGCACACTGTTCAATCAGTGCACATCATTATTTGTGGTTCTATTTCTATTTTATGCATCTATTAAAGTCACACTTGTTACACGGTAATGATGTGCTTTAAAAAAGAAGAAACCGTTTTTGTGTAGAGTGTGTGCGCCACATTAAAGCGAGGGAGAAAAAGCAAAATAGATGAAGTCAAAAATGCCCTTGACACCAACGACCAATTCAAAAATTGCTGCCATATTGTGCTTAAAATGGCATAATATCCATACTTTGCTATTGAAATAAGCACAATATTTAATTTCACTCAACGGACGATGACTAATGACTCATAATCCTTCTGTATGTTGGCAATGATTCATGTTAGCGAATATATGCATGTTTTGCTTCGGATTTTCTTTTCAAATCATTTGTGAAATCATCACTGAAAAAAAAAAATCTTTGAGCATTTCCATTTCGTCTCTATTTTCTTTCAAAAAATATGTCGCAATATACAAACTTGAAACCGGATTTGGAACGATATAGCTCAGATGCATATTCATTCGAATCAAATTGTTAAGCTTGATTATAAATTTCATTGAGTCATATACTTTTTTTGAATGACAGTTTAGAAACAGAACTGAGACAATGGGAGAAAGCTGAGTTGACATTATGTCATGTCAATACAGAAATGAGATCTGTATGTCTTGTTTTTGCTTGATTTTCTTTTTCTTGTTTGATAGCAATTTTCTTGTCATCAGTCAAAAATCCATAATCCTTCTAACGAAGAAGAAATGTGCAAACAAATACACCGATAACATTTACATTATTCAACGAAAGAAAAGCCAAAGCGTACTTTGTTTTACGTGAACTGAACATTCGAAGAATTTTTCTCTCGGTATGAGATTAACGAAATTGCGCCAAAATTACCAAACGATTTTTATTGGTTCAAAATCCGTATGTATGGCGATATGAACATCGATTGGCTATTTACCCCAAATCGTTTGGTGGAAATCATGTTAAAATCATAACCCTTCAGCGCATTTCGATTGGATTAAATTCAGCTGCTACATATGTTCCACACACAGTCTAAAATTGAAATCCATACGTGAAAATACGGTCAATGTGTTCATTGGAATTTCTCTTCATACGCGCTTTAACTTGTTTCGTTTTTTTTTTTTCGCAATAAATGTTTTTAACATCGATTTTCCATTTTATATAGCACTTTCAAAAGTCACGAAAGGATATTTACTACTTCGTTCGCCTCAATTGAAAATAAAACAAGTAAAAGTTGCAAAAATTGGAACAACAAACCAATGTAGCAATGTAAAAACATCATTTAGTTGAATAAAAATTGAAATCGTTCGCCGTATTCAACGGTACCACACTAATTGAGCGAAAGATGTTTTCATTCAATTTTCATTTTCAAATTGAAGCGAAAATGAAAACATTGATGTTGAAGATGTGGATACAACCAAACATATTTTGATGTTTTTTGTTCATCATTTCTGAAAATTAGTGGATGAAGTGACGTTTGCTTTGTTATGTCATACCAGGTGTAAAATAGAACTGGTATCCATATTTCATTATACTGAATGAGTTATTTTTCATATATTACAATTGAGCAATATGGAACTATCAAGGACAAAAAAACATTTAAACAACAATGGGTTTGTAATTTGTGTTCAGTAACTTTTGTTTTAACATTGAGTTCTTCAAGCCAAATATCATATCAATATACCATATTTATTACTCCAACTGCTTGCGATAAATATAGCTATTAGGTTACACTTTATGTACAGCAAATTTAATTGAGATGTAAAAGATAAACATTTCATACAAAATGTTGCATGTGAATCATTTTAATCGTAATATTTCCTTGACCTCAGTATCATTTGCAAGGAGGCTATATACGGAAAAAGTTCCGGATTATGACTTGCAAGATCGTCATACCTGAAAATGGCTGTAATAATTCAAGGGATTTGTGAAAATCGAAGATTTGTCATAATTTACCCGATTTGTTTGTTAAATTCATATCCAAGATCACGGGCTATTTTATTTAAAGAATTCGAAGTAACTAGACTTGATACGGCGGGGGTCTACAATTTCTGGGGAAATAATTTCTTGGAAATTGGAAAAAAATTCTAGAAATTAGTTTAAGTTTTAATTCATAGGAATAAATTCTATTAGAATGGAATTAATTTCTAACTTTTTGTAAACAATTCCTGAGAAACAATTCTTAGAAATTAAATCCATTTCAAATCAATTCGATTTTCTAGAAATTATTAGCTAAGTAATAATTGTTTCTCTCGAAATTAATTCGAAATTATAGAAATTATTATTCTTTTATTCAGAAATTGTTTCCCCAGAAATTGTAGACCCCCGCCACTTGATACAAGTCTTATTACCTTTTACGTACAAATCTCATCTCTGCTCAATTGAAGTGCCCGGAAATTTGAATCTCAAATATTATCCAAACGAGTAAGGTACAATTAAAAATAAATTGCGGTACAATTAAGTTCATTTTTGGTACAATTACTTAAACCTAGTCCCAAGTTTCGACTTTCACATGTGCGGACATTCGACTATACATCCGCTCAATAGAAGATTTCGTGCAATACCACGGCGATGATAGTTTGGATGAACTATCACACCTTCACTGGTCAAGTATTCCATGATTTCGTAATGATCAAATACATTGAAACCATATACTCTATTATCTGAAAAAGAAGGGTCCATGGATTGCTTTGTTATAATTCGATTCAGGTATGTTTCGAATTTCGTATTCAATTACTGTTCTGTTATCAATATCTGTTGCATTAACCCTGAGCCAAACTCTATCGTATGACAAAATTCCCAAAACATAATGTCCGAGGAGTATCAAATTATTTGTGTGTATTGATATAGAATTTCGTTATCTGAACAAAACACTGGCTAACTGAATGCAGTGCAAGTTGCAACAGTATATTGACTAATTTTGAATTCATTTTTTTTATTTATGGAAATTCCTTATTAATCGCAATATTTTGGTGCCATTGACTTTTTTTTTTTTACTTGTACCTTGGATATTTCTAAAAGTATTTGAGAAAATAGTAAGAATATCAAACATTTCCATTCTTCAAACCATCGAAAAATTTCAATTGTATTTTTTTGACATTAGAATAATTTCTGTGCAGTTAAAATATGGCAAAATCTCTGGTATATACAGCTGTATATCATCATATCTAAAAAAGATATTTCCAAGAATTAACGAAAAAAGAAGGTTTTTAATAAAAAAAATTCAATTATTAACTGAATATGTTTGTTGAATTCAAATCCAACATCAATGGCCATTGAAATTGAATACATTGACGAAAATACACTTGATGTCACTCTGATACCATAGAAGGCACAAATTGATTTTCTGGCAACAAGAAGTTCTCGACCAATTTTTCGACCTCGATATGCCGAATCTACTGCCATTCCTTCGTCGTCTATGTATATATCAACGTCATATTCACTAAATACATCAAATCCACAGATGGTCATAGTTTTGTCTGTCTGGAAGTATTAATTCATAACATAGACAACAAAAAATGTTCAACAACTTTTTTTTTTATTTCACATTACCACAATGTTTAATATTTGTACGCCAACAATAATATTGGTGTCACCTTTGAAGCAGGCTACTGAAACCCCTTCACTTAAATTTGACAGCCAGTCTTCTCTGTATTGTTTTACAACAGTTCGATTGTTGATAATGCCTATTTCATGAAATTTTCACTAATATTATTTCATAATGAGAAACAAAAATGAATAAGAAATACCCATCTCTTTAGATATTGGCTCATCTCGCATATAGTGTTCCACCATAAAATTGACTGCTTTTTTGTAAAGCGATTTTGGTATGTTTCGAATTTGATAGTCAATTATCGTTTTGTTATCAATGTCTTTCGCATTAAACCTGTGCCAAATTATAGAATCCTCATCTTTTGCACTTTCGACAGAATTTTTATATTTTCTGTGTGCTGATTCAACTGTCACCAAAACATAAATCCCAAAGAATAGCAAATTCAACAATTTTTGATTCAACATTTTCACAGACAAAAATTGAATCGAGACGAATGATTAACAGATATCGATATACTGTCGTTTAAGTTGGTATTATACAACGTACTTTTTTGATTCGTATTATTTTTAAATTTTATCACCTTTGCAAAAATTCTCTAAGATTATACTGAATAAATAATGTCACGAAACTCTTATCAACGATGTATACAAAAACAAATACAGATGTTTTTTTTATTTATCATTGTCTACCACATTATTTCGTTTAATAAGCAATTCAGCATTTATGCCATAAACTGTCAGCGAAAGGTCTCAGAGATTTGTAGATGGAAAAAAAGTCCGAAGATATTTATTTGTATTCTTCTTGAGCCAAATTTATTTTTATCATATTCATGAAGACCCAGTGCTACAAAAGTTCAAATAAGCAAAAAAAATTGAGTGAGAGACATTCGTGATTTAGACAATATCTATCCTTTTGAACACTTTGGATTATTAGTACTGTTGTATCCAAGAGCTAAAGTAAACACGTCATTCAGTCTATAATCATTTGAAATAATTCCAAAGGATCTCACCTTCAAAATAAAAAGTCCCTCGAAGACATAGAGATATTATCAAGTCCAAATGCTTATTAAAAGTAAACACAATTGTGTGTGTGTGTCAGTCTATGTATTTCAGATAGATATCCATCCGAGATATTTTAGAATATCTGGATATTTAACGCAGCTGCACAGAGCCAGAGCTGTGTGTGTCGCACGTAGAATCTACGGTATGTCGCTACACGTAAAATACAGACACAGTGTGACTGTGTACGTGCGGCACTTGATACACATATACGTCGCGACATACCGTAGATTCTATTTGCGACGCACACAGCTCTGGCGCTGTGCAGTTGCGTTGAATATCCAGATATTCTAAAATATCTCGGATGGATATCTATCTGAAATACATAGACTGGTGTGTGTCGTATAAAACGATAAATAATTTTGTTTGCATTGTGTGTGACATCAGAATTGTGTTATAAAAGTATGACAATATTTCTCAATTAAAATGATATGTCTGAAAATTAATTAAAGCTGTTTTATTTAAAGAGAGTAAAACAATAAACAAATAATTTTTATCCATAAAAAATTGAGTTGTGTTTCAGACATTTCAGAAGCTCATGATTATGCATAATACTTAAACAGTTTTTTTTAATCAGATTTATTTTGTTGAACAAGTCAATGCAAATGATAACGGAATTCTTTTGATTAAAATTTTGAAAATGGATTTTTTTTATATAAATTCTAAGTATATTCATATTTTCATAATATCGAATACAAATCCAAGATGGACTCATTTTCGCCGTGCACATATTTTAATGGCACAAAATGTGAATTTAAAGTCGAATCATACACAAAATATATATTGCTTGAGTCACGCACTTCATTGCGATGACCTCAATCATAAGTATGTATTTTTTCCATTTTGCTAATTGCCATGTGCTCGAAACAATTCCTATCAAAACATTATCACAACACTAACATGTTAATCCTAAGTTGCCATTTTAATCTAAAAGACCCAAACGAACGAAATACGCTTCTGTTGTTGTTTTTATTAACTTTGGTTGAGCTCGTTGTGAATCGTGCACCATTGTTTATTTGTCTTTGCCATATTTCTTTGTATAAACTTGTGTATTTATGAGATAACCGGTCTACATTGGTGGCGACGGCTGCAAATTCGCATAAATTTGAAAACTTTATTACATCCCAAAATGTTACCTTGTCGTATACTGACGTAGAAATGTCACATGTTTCTTTTCTATTGTATTCCGCCATTTGATTTTCGGTTTTGTATTGCGATATTTCACCACATGAGAAATGATCCGCGTGGGAATTTTCTTACATTTTTTGAAGCGATACTACTTCGTCTTTATTGCTATTTTTTTCGTAGCAACAACACTTTTTCTTATATTTTCTTTTTCGATTCGTCTATTGTAAGTGTCAGTACATTTCAGCACTAAAAGCTCTCCATTGTCTCTTCTGCAGATGGTATTATGTTTGAAATCTCATGTTCAAGTAGTGGTTCGTTCCTTTTTTCGCACGTACACGCGAAAGAGAAAAATCCAGTGCATTGCATGGCGGTTGCACGATATGAATGCCACAAATATCAATTCTATTACAATCGATAGCTGGTGGCGTTGAAAATGCTTTTACGCTGATGGCTGTGAGTGCTCTTCAACAATGTCATTCAACATTACATTCTGTGGATATTTTCCCTTTTCACACACGTTCTTCGCTCTTTCGCTCAGTCACTCTCTTCCGAATGCTTGATAAACATTGCCAGTCAACATCAAACAATGTGACACAAAATAAATTTCGATAATGGAATCTATCTTTTAAATGGTGCTGTTTGAAGAAAACAGCTGTAGCTTAATGATAAATGATGTTAATTGCCAATAAAAATATAAAAAAAACACGAAAATCGCATCGAAAAATGGCAAATGTGTGTTTTTCGTCTGATGTTTGCTCCAATTTTTGATTGATTCAACTTTTATCTCTCTCCCGATCATATTTTCATCACTTTAATTTATCGAAAGCAAAACAACGAATGTGATTTCATTTTTATCGGAAATTGAAATCAACACTTGCTTTCAAATTGACATACACAAATCCCTTGTCACATAAAATGCATTTACTTTTGTTTCTGTTGTTATGCCACCATTCCGTCATTGCATGGTAAATATTTTTTATGGTCTCGAATAAATGAGTTTTGAAGAGTGTAGATTTCAAACGATTTTAATTAAAAATTGTTGTGTCGCCCCATTAAGCAGCAGCCAAATGAATTATTGATCGCAACTTGTCTTCGTTACACCATTGGCAAATTCTCTTTGATTTCCTATCATAAAATCGTATGTACGCTATCAAATCCATAGTAAACTGCATGAATATTACATCAAACCAAAATAATTCACCGCAAGGATTTAACACCGAAGCCATATTTGCACGATTATAAATGACGTGATCCCGTTGTTCGCAGCATTTACTCGCCGACCTCTTCAGATTCACATAGACGATTTCAGCCATTTTATCCTTTGCATTTGGGCATCAAACCGTCATTCATCTCAATTAAAATGCATTTATTCGCAAAGTACTGTTCACTTTTGTTCACAATTTAACGAAAAAGTGCTGAGTGAAAAGTCATTAAGATCCATTGGAGTTGAAATGAACGATAAATTGAAAAATTGTTTCTCATTATTACTATAGTGAGAGCACTTCTGAAAAAGGAAACTCATCACAAATTTCCTATTCATTATTCAATTTATTTGCGAGCGATTCAACAAAATTAAAACGGAAATTAAAACATATGTGTTTCGTTCAATGCAATTGAAAAGTTTAAATACATTGCGAGTTTTTCTATATTCGCCACTCGAGACCCAGAAAGAGCGTGTGAATGAGAGAAAATAGAAGAGGAGAGCGATGTACACGTACAGGTGCTGTGTTCAGATTTGATGGGAACAAATGAATTCTCAAATGTCTATGAAAAATGCATGCATCACGTAAATAATTCAGTGGAATTGCTAAACAAGTTAACGTAACGGAGTGAGCAAAATCAAAGTTTTTGCATTTTTCATTGTGTTTTGTTCAGCGCGTTTTGTAATATTTTTCTATTTGTTTTCAAACGGCTTTAATCCCAAAATGTAGGTGAACACAAGACACGCTATTTTTTATCGCCCGATTTGTTGGTCTATCGCTTATTTGCAAGCGCGTCGCCTATTTGTGATGTATAATATCCTATATAGCCCAACCACAATATTCCCACATTGATCCTTCTATTTTGTAATGGCAATTTCAAGCGCTACAACACAATGTGCACGATGAAAATCAGCGGCTGAAATTATTTTTTATTCTCATCTGGGATGGTGTTTTTTATTTGTTAAGCTATTCCGTTCGGTGTTGTCCATATTGTTGTATAGTTTGTAGGCGCATACCTTTTTGCCCAAGCATTCACTGTTCGATTTTATGAAAATGGTTTTTGCGTGTGACTGCTGGTTTCGTGTTCTATTCAATTTCGGTGTTAAATTGAAGTTGTGGCACAAAAACTTTCTATCTAAACACATCACATGTAAAAACACAATGCTATCGTTCGCTCCTTTACTCTGCCAACGAACCGATTTTGCTTACGCCATTCGATTGTTCCTCAACCATCATAAAATCTTCTTTTTTTATTTCAAAACATTTTTTTTTCGGCGAATGAAAAACGAGACTGGCTGCGATCACTGTATTCGAGTTATTTTATGTAACAATATTTCCGACTTTAATGCCATAAAGTGATTTGATGTATTTTTGGGTAAGTTGTGTTTGCCTCAAAACACTCGAGTCGAAAATGATTCGAGTACAGGCAATAAAAGTATGAAAAATGGTGACATTGAAGGAACGAATAACGTTACACGAGCTCTAAATCGATGGGTTCCTTATTTTTCCAACGAAACCAACCGATCAATACGGCTAATGACCGTTCACACATGGAATGACCACCACCGTGCTACGAAAATTGCGTGTGCGTTCATTTGGAGTGAGAATTTTTCGGTCGTTAACTTGAATAACTTGATATTATTGTTATTATGTGTTGTTCGTCCTCGTCATATATTTTAGTCGATTCGAATCAATATGGAAAAATGTGTGAATAATTTTGTGTTGTTACGTGATTTAGAAAAAAAAGACAGGGAAAGAGTAAATAACGAACGGCGATGAAAAGAAAAGACAAAAAAACGAGGAAAAATTAAAGCCACGTCGAAAACTTTTCATATTTGGATGTGTAATGGCACAAATCGTTTCATCCGCTTTGTTACTTGCGCACATATAAAAAGTTTTGCGTGACGAACAAACTTATCGTCTGATAGTGTATGTATATATGTTAACTTCAAAATTAAACAATGTTTTCCGTTTCTTCTGTTGATAGTCTAGCCGATTTATGTTGCTCGAAGGCTTAAGCTTTTCCACTAACTTTTTCCAGATTACGTAATAATGCAAAAATCTTTTATTTATGAGCAATTTTCAAGCGTTATTTTCATTGTTCATTCA